CCACCACCACCACCACCAAAAAAAATAATTTAAAAAAATCTGCACATAAATGGACGGGAAGACGTACAGAGCTGTGGGAAGGAGGAGCACATAGTGGGTGGGTGGGTTTGTTGGTGGTGCTGATGTACCATATTTTGCAGTGATTGGTGATCTTTACAGATTAATTTGAACCACGTCGAGTGAAGGGGTGGGCGCGGTTAGTGCACAGACATAGGTGTTTAAGGTTTCTTACTACAAGCAAAACTGAGCCCGTCCATTCTTGTCCATTAAAGCATGACGAACTGTAGAGACTCACAAACTGACCAATTCAGGTCAAATTATATAAAACAGACATATGGAACATTTCACAGAGTTTGATATTTTCAAGGAGAGTGTGAGAGCACCCTTCAGCCTGCTCAGCCACGAAACGTACGTGTTTCCTGACCTTGACCCTTTTTAAGCAGCCGGTTTAATATATGTCAAATAATCACTGTCAGTAATAATAAATAATAAAATTAAAATGAGGTAGAGCTAGTAAACAGTGTGAAACAACTTTCCTGAGAAGCGACTGCATTAAACTGAAATTGTTACGGCGTTATGAAGAAAGTATTTAAAAAATTCTCTAACCTTGCTGTGGAGGTGCCATCTTCTCTCATTCACGGCTTTCACCCTTGACCATGTGATTTTCACAACTGACCAATCAGTGACGAGATATTCTATCACATGACCAAATATGGCAGCTTTCATGATTCGCCGCGATATGTGAACGGCAACCTTTCCTCTGATGAGTTTACTGACGGATACAGGTGAGTCCAGGTGTTTTTTTTTTTCGCCAGGTATGATATAAGACTGTTGTTATTTCTTGTAACTAGGGTGAATGTTGATTGTACGGCGGGAAGGGGGTTACAAAGGCGCAAGGTGTTCATTTTTAAAAGGTCAAAACATACTAGATATTTGACATTTTTGATTGTGGAATGTCAAGAAATCCAGTGTTCTTCGTTTCTACAATCGTTCCTCATATGGGGAAATTATTTCCAAAGTGACACACATTTGTGACGAATAACGATTTCTCTTCGTTAAAAAGCCATACAAAATTCCAGTGTACACTTTAAGTGCAGTAGTACTACAAGTCAGTAGTGCCACCATACTTAGCGTCGGTTTTCTGTCTTACACGCTGTGCTGTAACTGTAAAAGCTCATTCCTTTTGAAACTATGGGTCTTCATTGATCAGTCCAACTCTGCAGGGACTCTTGCTGAATTCAGCCAGTTTAACAGATTAACATGCCTCCTATTGCCTTCCAACGTTGTTGTATAATCACCAGCTTTTCTGTATTCTGTCGTACCTATGCCAGGAGGAGGCGTGTTAATCTGTTTAACATTCAGGATGAGTAACTGCTGAGTTGGTTTGATCTATGTAGACCAATAGTTTCAGTGGGAATGAGCCCTAAGTACCCAGCATGTAAGGCCAAATACAGAGGCAAACTACCAGCCTGACTACTATTCAAAATACCAAGTTGTGAGAAGGGTGTGTTTTCATATCAAAATTTTAAATAATAAATTGACTAAGAAAGTATTTATTATGCTTGAGTAAATGTTTTAAAGCAAGGGAATCTGTATACCTGTATGCATATTTTCAAACAACTTTTTTTGTTTCAACAACCTACTCATTGAATTGTAGTCGAGATATTTTTTTCTAAATCTAACAGATATAACTACTGGCCAATGCAAAGATGGGTGCACCAGGAAAACCTCACTGGGTGGAAGAGCTGTTCCCTGTGACATTCACCCTCGATTCTGCTGACCTTGACCTTGACACACAACCAGCTGACAAAGATGTTCAGAGGGCAGATAAAAAAGTAGCTTTTTTATTTTATGAGAAGTATTTGTAAAGGGGATCTTTGGGATATGACCCAATTTCAGTGTATATAAAATGTGTTGTTATGTATTCAGGTCATGATTTTAAGCAAAAGTGACCTGTATAGCCTTTGGATTTCATAGTAAATTATGTCCAAACTGGTGTGTCCCATAATTCCTGCCTCAAGCTGCAATTAGAACATATAACATCAAATAGCAAGACTGGAAAAAAGAGGAGTAGCTTTTAATTTTCAAATTGATATCTAAAATCTGTAATTCAATTTTTTTTTCTCAACAAATTAACATCTAAGTCACAGTTAAAGTTGATCCATTTTAGTATGTCTATGACATTTGGTTGAATATAGGAACAAAATTATTCTAAAAATATTATTCGAAATTATTGTAAAAAAATCTATATTGAGAAACAAAAGTGTGAAGTTTTTAAGATATTACCGAATTGACTATTTCTGATATGATAGTTTGTGAAATTTCAGTTTCCTTAAATATTTTTCAGGAACCAGAGACCAAAATTTCCCAGTTTGATCTCAGCTCCATCAAAAATGTGTATGAGAGGGTTTTATTGATGACTCAGTTTGAGGAAGAGGAGAGAGAGAAGGAGAAGAGAGCAAAGGAATTAAGAAAAAAAGGTGCTCAGAAAAATACTATTGTTATAAAGCTGGCCATAATATGTTAGGTGTGATACTTTTATTGTGTTGGATGTGATATTTTGGTTCAAATTGTTCACATAATTATAACTATTAATTTCACTACCCACTGTAAGTATCATGATGTATAAAATCTTAAACCTAACTTTGTATTAATGAAAGCTGTACTAGAGCTTTGCCAAGTAACTTAAGTTGCATTCAGAACAGATGATCTGTGTACTAACTAATTCCCAGACTAAATATGGCCGACCCCACTTAAAAGCTATCAATCAAACAGATTTAATCTCCACTTCGAGTTTAATTGCTCTGCCCCTGCAGGGACGACGTTTGTTGAGGTGGGGCGACCATTACAGAATTAGATTACATTGCTTTTAAGTGGGCCAGCCATATTTGATCTGCAAATCTGTTAGTTCGCAGTTCAACTTGTTCAGAAGAGGCCCTTACGCATTAACCTTTTTATGGTTATCATTTTAGGAGAGTTAAAATTTCGAAGTCGAGGCTGCCAGACGGAGACCGTCCCTGTCGACCCTGAGGATTCTGCCATTTGGTCCACAAAGGAGATCAGTGTATTAAGGAGCGTGTTCAGGACAGCCAAGGAACAGAATGCCAAACTTAAACATGTGGCAGAGGATTTAGACAGATGTAACAAGGAACTTGAAACAAGGTGCAAAAGTCAGGCAAAGGCTTTAGACGCGAGGAACAAATCCTTACGGGAAGTTGCTAAAGCCAACGAGAGGCTGAAAATTCTGTGCGATAATCTGAAAGTAAACTTGCAGAAAGCTGGTAGTGAAATTGAGGAGTTAACAGCAGAATTGAGGCACACAAAATCTTTGTACTCTGAAACCTGTAAAGACCTGAACCTATTGCGAAAAGACCATGATCACCTTAGACTTATTCACAAGAATGTAATGGTTGACATGGAAAATCAACAACAAGAGTTTTTAAGAGAACATAGACTCAGGGAGGAAAATATTAAACTTTTGTATGAAAATGATATCTCTGACTTGCAGAGAAATCTGGCATCAGTATCGGCAGAGTTAGAGAAGGAGAAGCAGGAACATTATATGACAAAGAAAGGGCTGGAACACCTGAGGAAACATTTCAGTAGTTTGCCCACTGAGTCTGCATCCAGTGCTTTTATCTCAGAAACTGATGTCACCAATCTGGATTACTATCCATGACAGTACCCTCACGGAAATCATAATGTCACTAGAATTGTTTTTCTTTTCTCAGTGTCATTCCACCAATCACTTTCTTAAAGCAGACATATGTTGAGATTGCTCTAAACAGCCATCTATGGAAAAGTTCTAAATACTAGGAAAAAACTTCATCTTTTTTTTTTATTAATACCAATGAGCGTAGTTTTTTATATTTAACCTCTGAATTAAATGGGAATACCGTTTTGTTGCACCCTTTATTTTTATTTTTTTAATTTGCTGTATCAGAGATATAGCACTCAGAAAAAATATTTCATTCAAAAATTTCCTTCAGTCTTATTTTTATCTAACAAAGCTAATATTTCCCGACCTTCAATAAATAAAAATGTATTCTGAAGCGAACCTTTTACGTACGTCGTAATTTCCTTATGAGTCGTAGTTCCTTGTATAATCCAATCCATGGGACTTTTCAACTGCACGTGAGAAGTAAAACCTGTATTTTGTCACCATACAAAACGCTGCGACTTTCTCTTGTATTATGAAACGGGAGCTTGTCCATTTCCTGATTCTGGGCTGTGCGAGTGCTGTGAATGTTGGAAAGGTGGGCAGACGGCGTTCTAAATGAGCAGCCAGTCGTAAAGAACTAAATAGTATGATTTGTTAATTATGGTATGAAAAGTCGAATCCAAGTACGGGTGGGTCGAGCAATTATTCCAAGAGAAGAGTGAAGGGTGGGGTCATTTTCCGAAGAAAATTAGTTTTATCGGGAAGATCCCCGGTAAGATTTCTTTTAAAGAATTCCCATAGTTTGATAATGGCTTGTCATATCCTTCCTTATTTTCTTTTAGTTTTTGTTGAACATCTTAGCTATTAATGATAATAAAAAATCCATGTGAAGAAATTTATAACTAAAAGAAATGATAAGAGGAAGGTTACGTGTCGCAAAGGAGGGAAAGTGTCAAATTTCCGATGAAAACCAGTTTTTATGTCACATTTTGTTAAATCTAGGTCTTAAAGGTACATTCCATGAGTTTTTCCCTAAAAATGTTTTTTTTTTATATTTAACCTCTAAAATAAACCGGAATATCGTTTTGTTGCAGCATTTTTTTCTTTTTAATTTGCTGTATTAGAGATATATCACTCAGAAAAAAATATACTTCATTCAAAAATTTCCTTCAGTCTTATTTTTATCTAGCAAAGCTAATATTTCCCGACCTTCAATAAATAAAAATGTATTCTGAAGCGAACCTTTTACGTACGTCGTAATTTCCTTATGAGTCGTAGTTCCTTGTATGGTCCAATCCATGGGACTTTTCAACTGCACGTGAGAAGTAAAACCTGTATTTTGTCACCAT